TTCGACCCCCCCCCTTTGTCGCTTTTCCCAGGAGCTCTACCATTCTTATTTTAGTGTCCGTCAAGAAGAGCGGGGAGGGTAGGGACAATGGGAGAAGGGGAGGTGAAAAATCGCTCCCTCCCCAGGAGACCGCACTGGATCCGCCTGTGCCTCACTCCCACTCTATTCCAAATGATATTTTCTTTTACGCTCTTCAAAACTAAGGTAATATATGGTTTTCTGGTAGAATAGTTTTTGAGGGACCGTACAGGTTAAAGAATTTGCCTTCCATCTTCTTATGCTTTTCAAAATGGCAGGGAAGTTAACTTTCAGTAGATAGCTACGTCACTGATTTCTTTCTCCTGGGAATCATGGTAAGAAAGGAAACCAGTGAGGTGGGAGGTGGTTCCCATAGTTCATTTTGGATCGCTGCTTACCATTGTTGTTAACATTTTTAAAATTTTCAAATCTTACCCTTTACGTCTATAGCAATTATGATTTTAGTGTGGTGCTGTATTAACTATGCGCGAACTTCTCTAGATTTTCAATAATCGCAATTATCTTTTGTAGCAGCGCTCATTAATCACGATTTTGTGATCGAACAGCTGAACGGTAATTGCGATTTGCGGGGAAAGTTTTTACTAAATCAAGGAAATGGATTTCGACCCACAACATCCGAAGTGGTTGTGTTGTTGCTGTCATTTGACGAATGGTTTGATGATTCTGGCTGGTTCTGAGATTCTTCTTTCTGTTGCTTTACTGGCTTATTCCATTACTCATATCGCTGTAATGAATTCAAATGGCCAAGTAAGTTTTATTTTTGAAACACCTGAGATCAAATGTTACATTTCATTACTAGTACAGCTAACCAGTCTACGAATTTCGACTTTTTTTCTTTTTTGTACGATGTTTTCGCCGCCGATGCAGCACAAAAACTCATAAAACGAAAAACGAAATGGTGCACATATGTATGTATATATGTATGTATGTATGTTTGTTTGTTTGTTTGTATGTGTATGTATAATTTGTGTTTATGTATGTATGTATTTATATATGTATGTGAGTAAGTATGTATCTATGTAAGTATGTTTGTATGCATGCATGCATGTACGTATGTATGTATTATTTAATTGCGTATTAAGGCGCTATTACAGCAGAATCGGAAAGGGCGCAAAAATAGGCAAGGCAGGAAAGCAGAGGAGGTTAATAAAATGATGAGGTAAAAAGTTTTGGACATTTCAGTCATGAACATAAAGTTGTGTTTTGCATACATATATATATGTATATACACATACATGCATGCACACACAACGTTTCATTTTAATGCATTTTTAAGCTGTATCAGTGACGAAAATATATATATATTTTCATCACTGATACAGCTTAAAAATGCATTAAGAAGCGCTCTGTGCATGCATATATGTGTATATGTATGGATATGTTTATTCGTTACTACTTTTGCTGTTTTGAATAGTTACGATTCAAAGCATGCTCCTCCAACTGTGCAAATCGCTTTGATCAGTATTACATGGCCCGGTGGTTAGCCTACTGGCGATTTTGACGCTCGTTTCGTTTTCTGAAATGACTGACAATTAAACGGTTCTCCTAACAAAAACACTTGGCAGGACAATACTCATTCTGTGACGATATAGAATGTTGGGCATCACCACCTCGTCTTAATCGCGTTATCGCAAGGTATTTCATCGATTAGGAATAATTTCCATATGGTTGAAATTTAAAATAAAATGTCTTTTTTAAGGGAAAAAGCACGTAAAGCTTTACTTGTTCTTCACCTTATGTGACAATCTTCCAAACCAGAAAGTAGTTGTTTTAGGTTACTGATACATCGTGGTTCATGCTGATTTTGGCACCATTAAGCGTTATATTTGCTATAACTTCTGCCCTTCTTATCTATGGAATACATGGGTATAAGGTAATATTTCTTTGTCTGCTTAAATTTGCCTTTTTTTTTACCAAATAATTGTTTTTGTGATCGGTTAATTGGAATTTACGACACTGTCATAATTACAAAGGCTGACCCACCTCACAGATCCCGACTCAGGCAACTCATCATCGTGTAAGAGCGTTAAAAAATTAGGCTGTACCAAGAAATCGCTGATTTTAAATCCCAACAGTGCCAGAAAGACACTGCTTCACGTTCGAATAGCTTAACGGTATGGACCAGTTCAGCCTGACCAGCGGCTGTTAGTGCAATAAAGATCATGCAGTTATGTTTCTCTTGTGCTTATCAGAAAAATAAGACATACATATGTTTCTCTTGCGCTTGTCAGAAAAATAAGACATACACTTTTCAAACGAAAAGTGGGAAAGCTACTAGCAGCAGCATCAAATCGAATCCATTTGCTAATCCTACAATGCGGGCCTTTATATATTCAGATTTCAATGTTTATCAGTAAACACGTTATAAATTTTCAGGAGAATTTTATGTATCCAACGTTAGCAGGCAGGGCAATAATAATTATCTTTGTGCAAGCATTTGGTGTTTCAACAGTAGTGCAACCATCCGACAGTATGCATGATCCAGAGACGCATAGATCTTGGAAATTATCCGAAAGTCAGGAGCTAAGTAATTTTGCGAATGATAGGGTCCGTTTTGTTTGCCTGATCTAGTAGTTCTAAAGCTAATTTGCTTTCTGATAACACATGAAGTATGTTGCGAAAGCGCCTCCGTTTTTCAAATATTACAGGTCTAGCAGAAACGATACCTCTCATTTTTACTATCTCCAGCTCCTTCGAATTGTGACTTTTAATCCACTACTATCTGTTACGAAGCACCCGCGAAAAGTCAGCAAACAAGAAATCACTGCAAATAAAATAATTGGCCAACGTACGGGCTGCCCGTGCGAAGATTTTTTGCATAGCTCCCCGTAGATTTTTGTTGCTAACGGTACTGGTTTTTCCGCAGATGCTTCTAGCTAAAAGAATTTCAGACTGGCCATCAGGACAGGAAATATCCCTTCAAAATTCCAGTCTTCTAGCTTTTCAGATTCCCGACTTACCCTAAAAAAATTTGGCGGGCCCGTACGCGGGTACCACGCTAATCCGGGAGCTGGATTTGAGCTCATTAATATCCACTTGGACGGAGAACGTCCCCTTAAAATTTCAGCCTCCCAGCATTTCTCGTTTCCGAGTTAGCAGCTTACCCGTAAAAAAATTTGGCGGGTTCTTACGGGCACCACGCGGATAAGACCGCCCATTTTGGGGTGGGAACCCGTACGTGCATGTAGATTAAACCGTTAAAGTTTCAGCCCTGTAGCTTTTGTAGGTCTCGAGATGAAAAATCGGTAAGAGTCCCTGCACACACACAGACAACTTCTCGTCAGTATGCGTTTTCCACACTGCATAGCTGTAAAAAACGCATAAAAAGCGTATTGCCTGTAAAAAGCTGCAAAATAGAAACTTTATTTTACTTTGAAATGCAAATGTACAGCTGACGTGCTGTTTTTGGAGCACAAGGGCCGGTGGTGTAGTGGTTGCATGTCACGTCCGGATGTAAAAGGGAGTGGCTCAATTCCGTCCCAGCCCATAGCTATTTTCGAAAAGGGGCTCCATTCATGACGCTATCGATAACTAAAGCATTTATATCTGTTTGTATGTTACTCGCAAAGCTAGATAATACTTTCAGCGCTGATTTAATTACAGTAGTGACAGTGATTTGCGTTTTGCTCTAATGTGTATATACGAGGTTCAACTTCATGATGTAAGAAACTTTGCAGGCGTGGAGCTGTTTGTAAGCACATAACATGTGCAGGTAGTTGTCCATATCTGTGCCTAAAGCTATGAGATTGGCAAAATAATAAGTCCTTTTTTTTCGCATAACGCCCTTTTTTAAAGGGACATGCAGAAGT